AAGGTAGGACTACAGCTGAATCTTACGAAGACAGTGTTTATGAGAAACAGCCTTGTTCCTGACGCCCCATTCGCTCTCAATGGAACGACCATCTCCGAATGCAACAGCTATGTGTACCTAGGTCGAGAGGTCAACATGACAAATGACCTGGCACCCGAGCTGCGCAGGAGGAAAAGAGCGGCTTGGAACGCCTTCAAGAACGTCGAAGAAATAGCTAAGAGGACGAAGAACCTCCGGCTCCAGGCACATCTCTTTGATTCCACTGTTCTTCCTGCATTAACATATGCTTCAGAGACCTGGGCCCTACGCAAACAAGATGAGAACGCCATTCAGGTCTCCCAAAGAAGAATAGAAAGAGCTATGCTTGGAATATCACGTTTCACTCAAATGAGAGAACGAATCCGGAGTTCTGACATCCGTCGACGATCAAGGATCAGGGACGCTGTCTCATTTGCCAAGGTGTCGAAAATCAGATGGGCTGGTCACGTAATGAGATTTAAAGACGACCGTTGGACTAGAGCTGTTACTGATTGGATTCCACGGGATGCCAAGAGACCGCGTGGCCGCCCACCTACCAGATGGTCAGACTTCTTCGTCAAGATCATGAACAATCGGTTTGAGGCTCTTCATGTTCCCGGAGCGAACAGATGCCATTGGGCTACACTAGCACGCGACAGGGACAAATGGAGACGTTACTGGCGCCTGCTCGAGCAAATCGACAACTAACGGGAAGTTAAGTGATTAAGTGACTTCATGTTTTAATAAACTAGGAACCTTTCAGAATCTCTTAATTAGGGGCCAGAAAGATAGTACAGTGGGTAGGGCACTTACCTTGCACTGGGCCAACCCAGGTTTCATCTGCAGCATCCCACATCGTTCCCCATCACCGCCAGTAGTGATTACTGAGTGAAGAGCCAGGAGTAACCCCTGAGCATCACCCAGTGTGTGACCCTGCCAATCCCCCAAAAAGAATCTGTCACTCACTCGGGTCAGAAGGATAGCATAGGCATTAGGGCAATTGCCTTGCCTTGCCTGTGGGTGACCCTGGTTAGATACCCAGCACTGCCAGAAATGATCTCCCAAGCACAGAGCCCTGAGCACAAACAAAATCTCATTAACTCTGGGGATAAAAAGTGCCCCTTGAGTCCTAAAAGTTCTGTAGTGGCAGTTTCAAGACTTCCAAATATGTCATACAGGCAGAGTGTTTCAGCTGTGCAGCCAGTGTCAGCATTGACTCCATCCCCTGCTCATCCTGAGTGCTGATGGGAGCGAGGCAAGCACATGCCCACCCTGCCACACCCCGCCTTTGCAGGGCTGCATAATGTTTGTTCTGACTCAGCCACAAACTCGGTCTACCAAGTGGCATGTGGTAGGAGAGCGCAGTTGAATTCCTGACTCGGGATGTTCCTGCCCTCCCGCACTACCTCCCGCTCCCACACACAGCGCACTCTCAGGGGGCATCACACATTGGATATCAGTGTGTACTCCCAGCCTTGCAAAGACATCTTTAAGTTGTGTTGTTTTTCAAGATTGATTTCTTCTTTCTCTCAGATTTTGTTTACGCAGTTTCTCAGAATGAGCATGAGTTCTCAGAGGCTGTTCAAAGCTGTGTGAGAAGGTTCAGGTCTTGATGCAATAATTTTTGTTTATTTTTGTTTCCTAATTCCTTCTTTTTCAAACTCCTCATGTCTCACTCATTTTTTTATCCCTACTTTTACTAGCCACTAATTCGGTGTATTTTATGTGCCTCATCATGTTTTTTGTGTCTTTTAAAACATATGTGTGTTGGCATTCATTTCTGAGTTAGAGATAAGGTTTTATGAATTTTATACATCCCGCACCCCCAAAACATACACTATTTTTTAAGTGTCACTTTTTCATCCCACCATCTAATTCAGGATCTTAAATATATTTTGTATATATTTGTATATTTTGTATATTTTTTTTCTTTGTAAGTAAGATATGCTCTAAACTTAGCAACCAGAGAGATAGCACAGTGGGTGGGGCACCTCGACACTCTCCAGGACATTCCTGCTATTTCTGCAAGACGCCATCCACCACTTCTGTATTTACAGATCTGCTGCACATCTCCCATAAATGGAATCATACAGCATATGTTTGTTTATGTTTGACTTCTTTCACTTAGCAGAATGTTTTTGAAGTTCATTCATGCTGTAGATTGTTTATGACTAGTGAATAATGATCTGTTTATGACTAGTGAATAATGATCCATTAAGCACATGTATATTTTACTTACCTAGTCATTTGATAGACATTTGGGTGTTTTATATACATATATATAATCTTGAATAGTGCTGTTATTAGATTGGTATGCATGTTTTTTGTGTGGATGTGTTTTCATTTTTCTTGGAGGTGTGTCTGTGTAGTTACTGGGTTCTATAATAACAATGTTTAACCTGTTGAAAACTGCCAAACTGGTCTCTTCTTTGTTTTATTTTGTTCTTAGAGGCCGTACCCAGTGGTGTGACTTTCACTTGGCTCTGTATTCAGAGATCATTCCTGGCAATGTGCCGGGGATCATTTGGGGTGCTTGGGATCAGACACTGGCTGGCTCCATGCAAGGCAAGGATCCTACCTGCTGTATGATCACTTGGCCCCTAAACTACTGCTTTTAATGAAGTGGCATATTTCATTCTCTGTGTTAACACTGGAATCCTAACAAAGACAAGATCAATAGACCAGTTAGGAGGCCAGCATTTATTTCAACATTCTTCAGAACTTAAGTTAATTAGGAAAATAAAATTCATGATTGTTTTATAAAAAGTACAACCAAAAACTTGTGACCCCCAGATTATGAAGATCACAGCTGCCTAGGGCCTTTTCAGATGGGGATCGAACCAGCATCTCTCGTGCAAGGCAAATGCCTTACCCCCGTCCAGCCTCCCTGGCCCTGGAACACTGAGAGCAAACCCACACAGGGCCAGAGTGATAGTACAGTGGGGAGGGTGCTTGCCTTGCACACAAGTGACCGGGTTGGATTACCGGCACCCCATATGATCCTCCAAGCGTGCCAGGGGTGATTCCTGAGTGCAGAGCCAGGAGTATCCCCAGAGCATTGCCAGGGTATGGCCCCAAAACAAAGCAAACAAACCAAAATAGTAAACTCACCCCTCTGTTGGGTTCTGCACAGGCTGGTCCTATAGCTGCCTGGCACGCAGTGCTGAGATCACCCACCAGCGCAGCAGCAGAAAAACGGTCTCTCTCTCAGCTTTTAGTCCCAAGACCATTAACACACTGCTGCTGGTGCTATAGTTTATGCTAATATCATTAACCATATTCAGGCATGAGCCACCGGTGCTACAGGTGTCAGCATGTTAAGAGAAGCATATCAGCCCTACCTACTCAATAATGATACGAGGGCTGGGGACATAGCACATGATTGAGGGACACATGGTCCCGAGCAGTGCTGGAGTGGTCCTTGTGGTCCCCAGTGCCACAGAGCCAAGCACTTAACTGCTGGTCTGGTTGACAAAGTAAGTGACCTGTGCACTCCCTGAGGCGCACTTGGGCAGCCCCCACCCCAAATAATAGTGATACCTGCCTAAATGCTGAAATTTCAGGGTTGGAGGTATAGTTCAGTGGTTAGAGGGCTGGCCTTGCACACAGCTGATGCCAGTTCTATCCCAGGCACCTTATAGTTCCCCAGAGGAGTGATCTCTGAGCACAGAGCCTAGAGCAGTCCCTGGGCACTGCCGGGTGTGGCCCCAAATAAATAAACAGAGGCCAGAGTGGAGCAAGAGTACAACTGGGAGGGCACTTACCTTGCACATGTACAACCTGGGTTCGATCCCTGGCATCCCTTATGATCCCCCAAGCATCACCAGATGTGATCCCTGAGCACCAAGTTAGGAGTAAACCCTGAGCACCCAAAGGGGCCCCAAACCAAAAAATTAATTAAACTATTTTTTGGAAGAAAGAAACTATCACCAAAAGCTGAAATTTAAGCTTTTTTAGTAGAAATTGCTTCCTTAGGTAGGCATTCACAAAATGATTATTTTAAGCATTAGTCTTTACCACCTTTATTTCCCAAGCTTTCATTTATTTCAGTTTCCACATTTTAACCTGAAAATTACTTCTATTGAACAGAAGATAGAACTTTAAAGAAATACTGTTCCAGATAAGAATTGAGCTCTTGATTATGACAATAACAAGTTATTAATATAATAAGAATATTTCAGGGATGGGGAGATAGTACAGCAGGTAACACTCATTCCACTTTTTCATACCAGACGGTACTCACGGATCTGTGGACAGTCTGAAACCCTCTGTATTAAGTCACACTTCTGCTCTTAGCTCTTTTGCTCATCTCCAGCACTCCAGTGAGGGGTAAGGTTCTGCCCTCAGCACAGGAATCGGGGGCAGGGGCTGGGCGGCAGTGAGTGTGTGCACAGATCCCACCTGACTGCAGAGAGAATAGCCGGGAGTCTCAGATCTGCTTTACTGCCATGGCTCCCGACTGTAGAGTCAGGGATGGTCAGGGATGGAGCAGCAGGGACTGTGGTCACGGTCTTCAGTCACCGTCTAAAGAACAAGAACTCGGGGAGCTGCTAGGGAAGACGCAGAAACAAATATTACCTTTTTTCTGTTTTAGTTTTCTTCCAAAGCAGTTAAGCCTTTCCCTAGCTGTTCAAGCCAGATGCTTTCCTAAATGTCTCCTGGATGAAAGGCACAGGTTCAGTAGCAGGCACTAGTCTGTAGACGGAAGTTGCACTCCTGTGCCCCACAGCCCCATCCTTGACTCCAAGACCCCAAACACCTTTATTGAGTATGTTTTGTTTCATGTTGTACTGACAAAGGTAAAAGGGTGTGTGTGATCAGAATATGATTCCTGGTCTCTAACACGAACATGCCTCCAGAGCCACAGTGATGGATACTGATGTCCCAGCGTGGTGGCAGAAAAGTAGTGATGGCTGGTATGGGCAACCCTCTCCTGGCTGGTGCAGGTGTACGTCTTAATTGCTGTTCTCTCATTTCAACAGAGCATCACGGTCCATCATCAGGAACAAACTCAGCCCGGCAAAGCCCAGCCCTGCCACATAGGCCTGTGGGACAGTCCCAGGTCAACCACCTACCTGGGGACAGGTGAGCTGCTTGTTTGGGGGTGAGTTTAGTGCTCTCAGATCCCCTCCTCCCTCCCTGCTTATTCTGTGTGGCCAGCATGTGGCTATCAGAGAGCTGCCTTGTGCCCTAGACAGGCCCTCTGTTCGCAAACCACCCCTGGGAATGACCCACATGACCTACAGTGTGGGGAGATTCAGGATTTGGGGAGGGGAACCCCAGGCCATGTCCTTGCTGAGCACAGTGGTATGGGTTTCTTTACTCTCCTATTGAAAAGATTCGCCCAGGAACAAAAACTGTGTTCACTGAAATTTCACACCTGGACAAGTCTTGTTTACCTGGTGACAAGATCGCTCCTCTGCCCTCCAGCCAGTTCATGTGTGCAGCTTTGCAGTCCTAGTTGAAGGCTTTTTTTTTTGGAGGGGGGAGTTGGTTTTGTGTTTTGGGCCACACTCAGCAGTGCTCAGGGCTCACTCCTGGTGGTGCTCAGGGGACTATATGGGAATGCCGGGATCAAACTCCAGTCAACAGAGGGCAAAGCAAGCTCCCTGCCCGCTGTGCTTGTGCTTGTGTTTGCGGTTAAGAGTGACTTGACTCTGTCTTGCAGAAGCACCCTAGAAGGTGATGGTGGAAAAGGCGATGCCTCAGTGACGTACAGACATTCGTGGTCCGACCACCGGCAACTTGCACAGCCTGACACAGCGGTGATCTCGGTGGTGGGCGGCTGGCACGGGCAGGTATGCCATGTCCCTGACGCGGGCTGGTGAGTCCTCCCTGAGCCCCGCTGTGCTGTGCCTCCTGCTCTCGCCCATGGAGGAACAGGGAGTGCAGAGGAAGCCCACCGCTTGTTTCAGAAATATGGGCTTCAGGGCAAGGGAGTTTTAGCTCATCCTAGTGGTCTGCCTTTGCTTTGTTTCCATTTTCCTCTTTCAGGAAAACTGAATCTAAATCTCATTCATGGAAGCATTTTGCAGAATTCTATTTAGAAAAGTCACATGACCTACAGATTAAGTTCAACTGCTTTGATAAATATGAAGCTGCCCCTCACATTTCTGCCTTGGGAGCTTTGTGTGAATCACTGGTTCGCAGTGAGGGCAGTGCTGCTGCTCCCTGTGAAGGAAGCATAGTTCATGCTTGCTCCTCTCTCTGCAGAGCCTTGGCTGTTACCCGGTGGAACTGGAGCGAGGCCCCCGGGGCTTTGGATTCAGCCTCCGAGGCGGGAAGGAGTACAACATGGGGCTCTTCATCCTGCGGCTGGCTGAGGATGGCCCTGCTATCAAGGATGGCAGGATTCATGTGAGTTGACTTCCTTCTGCTTCCTTTGGTTCTGGCTGCAAACAAAACTTCTGTAAAGAGTTGATTGAAAGGAATGAATGTGAGGAACTCCTGATTGCATACGGGCAGCATTTCCTTGCTACAGTCCCACAGAGGCAAACACGGGTCACACCCCTTTCTTCTGGGAATTTTCTGTGTCTTCTTGCCGCTGAGCTGAGCTGCTCATGGCCTGCATAACACTGGGCAATCTGAAAGGTTCATCAAATATACTTTCACCCTTTCAAAGTCTCTGAGGGCTGAAGAAAGAGGACCAAGTCCAAGGCACTCACCTTGCTCATGACCAATCTTGGTTCGGCACCTTCTATGCTCAGGATCTCTTAAGTGATCTCTGAGCACAGAAGCAGGAGTATGCTCTGTGCATGACCAAACATGGCCCAAAAATCAAAAAATACAATAAAATAAAATCTGAAAAATCTAGGATAAAGTGGAATCTTTAGATTCCTCCTAAGAAGTAATAGACCCGAGTCTTTTTTTCCTCTTTGCTACCTTTATAGGTAGACAGGTGAGCGCCACCAGTCAGTGTTATTTGAGTGTTAGATTCAGGCCAGCCAGGCAACCTTGAAACATTCAAATCCTGAACTGAACCGGGTCTCCTCATACAGCAGACTCACGCTGCACCTTCTCAGGCACTTCTTCTTCTTTAGATGCTTCTTAAAAGCAGCAGCTCATGAGAGATTGGTCAGAGGGCTGAGCACTGCCATGCATGCAGGCGACCCAGGTTCAGACCCCAGCGCTGTACATGCCCCCAGAATGCCTGAGCATCAAGCTGGGACTAGCCTTTAGGCCCTATTGGGTGTATGCCACCCCCTAAAAAGAGGAATTTTATTTTAATGACATTTACTGGCCTTAAAGCTTAACGACCAATTAATTCACTGGTGTTTAGTTACACACTAAAATTTTTCAACTCCAAGCAGCCCATTTACAAGATCTCTGAATGTGCTTCCTCTGCTGCCAGGTACCCAGGTAAGGGGAAGGGTTCATAGTTTTTGTTTGTTCTAAATCTTGATTGCTTTTAATTTATTTTTCTACCACTCATGAAAATAAGTGGTAGAAAAATAAGTTCACTTTTAGTAGGAAGAGACTGAGGAGAGAATAGTCTGGACTGAAGAAATGAGGACAGGCCCAAAGGGAGTTTAACCTGAGACACAGGGAACCCTAAGTGGTTAAGTTTCCCTGGAGTGTATTTGGAAAGTAGAAGCGAGAGTAGAAAAAAATGAGAATTCAAAAGCAGGATAGGTTCAGGACAGAGAGCTAATAAAAAGCACTCGAGAACAGGCTTTACATGCTGGAGCCTTGGGTTTGATCCCCTGCAATGCACAGGGCCTAGAGCACCACCAGTGGCAATCCAGGAACCAGTAGCTTGGTCCAGATGGAGATGCAGAGGCCTCAGAGAACTCCCATTGGAGCTCCACACCAGTCAAGTGGGTCTGTTGCGTGTGAATGAGTGAGGGAGACTGTTTGGGCAGCCAGTGGTGGAGGAAGAAGGGCCCGACTGGGAGTTGGCCTTCCTTCCTTGCAGACCAGTGAACATGGCTTCAGAACTTGGATGCAGATGTGATCTCCAGCCCTGCCTCCTACATGTCTACAGCTGAGTAGCTTCTCTGAACCCAACTCCTTGTCTGGAAAACGTAGATACATAGTGAAAAAGGCACAGCTCAAGCAAATGTAAAGTTTTAGGAAGAGAAGTTTGACGCATTGCTCACATAGGGAAGGTATATTTATTCCTGGTTTTCTTAAAGCTTTTTTTTTTTGGTAGGGTGGGGGTCTTCCCAAACAGTGCTTAGGAAACCCAGGACTCTCCCAGAGATTCTCAGCCAGCCGAGTCAGTGGTTCGGTGCTAAGGCCCAAGTGCTCACCCCTGCCGTATTCAGAGGGGCCTCCTGGGTCACATCCAGCATGCTTGGAGGATCAAATGGTGCCCAGGATGGTGATCAAACCAGTAATGGCCACGTGCGAGGCATGCGCCTTAAGCCTGTACTAGCTTCTGCCCATCAACGAGCTCTTTTTCTTTCCTCCCTCTATTTCCTAAAATATTTAGGCACTTTAAGTCTTGTGAAATATTTTTTAGACTCTCATTTAGTGTCACAAAAATGCAATTAAGCCCAAACTGTAATTATAACTATAAAATACCTGCCAATTCCAAATATCACCCTCAGATGCACTAATCTCACCAAATTAAAGACAAACAGGATTTCAAGCAAAGTCTATTTTAAAACATGCAGTTCTCTTATTTGGGGGGCCACACCCAGAGATACTCAGGAGCTACTCCAGCTCTGGGCTCTGGGCACTTGCAGTGTGGGGTCAAGCCTGGGCCTCTTGCATGCGTAGCATATGCATGAGCCCTTGGAGTTCTTGCAAAGCCCCTAAAGCATGTCTTCATTTTTAGAAGTCCAGTAGGTCTCCACAGACTTCCCAAAACACGCTATTCTTTACACATTGAGCAGAATCTTACAACTCCATTGAGTAAATTGCAAAAATAGGTTGTGGAATTTGCAAATAAAACCAGTCATTCTAATCAGCTCTTCAGAGAAGGCTTCTTCTCTGCCTATAAAACTGTCAAAATTTTGCCTTGCTAAGGGCCATGAAGAGTGTGCTGACAGCTTATGCTGGGGCCATTGCCCAGAGCTGAGATTCCCTCCAGCTCTCGCACCTTACAACCACCTGAGTCTTCTCTTGCCTCTCTGCTTCTCCTCTGCTGTCCTGCTAAGCAGGCACCTGTGCTGAGTGTCCTCTGGGCATTTCCACTACCTTCAGCACCTGACACTAAATGCCTTGTGTATTCGCTGTGGGCACTCCATTGGTATTTGTTCTAAGAGTAGAATGGATGGATGAATACTTCTAGACAATGAATTTTAAAATAGATATCATCTCAGAATCAGAATACAAAAATATTGAGAGGCAATAGGTGCTTTCACTTGTTACTTTCATCCACAGAACTTTGTAAAGCAGTGGCATCGTGCCCACCTAAAAGTCTGAAATACGGGTCAGGGCCACCTGCACTTCATTCCTAAGCCATTGCTGGCTTCATTCCTACGCCCTGCTTGTGTGTTTTCCATTTCTTGTGTGCCTTTGACTTTGGTTCCTTTGGGAGATACTCAGATTTTTAACAGGTTGTCAGGTGTTAGAAATGTGTTTGTCACCAGAGAGACTGGCCCACATCCAAAAGAACCAAAGCAATCGGTGTTGGCATGGATGTGGGGAGAAGGGGATTCTCCTTCACTGCTGGTGGGAATGCCAGCTGGTTCAACCCTTTTGGAAAACAGTATGGATGATTCTCAAAAAATTAGAAATTGAGCGCCCATTTGACCCAGCAATACCACTTCTGGGAATATACCCCAGAGATGCAAAAATGTATAGTAGAAATCACATCTGCACTTGTATTTTTATTGCAGCACTGTTTACAATAGCCAGAATCTGGAAAAAACCTGAATGCCCAAGAACGTGCAAGGCAAACACCCTATCCACTGCACTATCACTCTCCAGTCCCTGCGATACATTTTTAGGGCAAGCTCCCTGCCCGCTGTGCCCGCGTTTGTGGTCACGGTTGAGAGTGACACAAGGCTGAACAGACCGGGGTAAATTGGAGGGGGGCGAATTAGGCTGGTGCCTGTTCAAGCAGAGACCCCGGCAGCCACTTGCTTCCACAGTCCAAAATCACTGCCATACCTCCTGACTTCACAGGCTCAGGATGGACCTCCCCAAGACTGCTGAAAATTCATGTATCAGGTTTTGTGACAATTCTCCAGGCTTTCTCGGGGTCGGGATGGGCAACTTTCCCCCACCTCCCTGTACTTCCGGAAGCCTTGGCAGTCACATCCATATTCCAAAGCAGCCACCCAATTGATAAGCTACTCTGGCCTTACCGTCCCAATAAAAATACTGAATGCCCTGAACAAACACCATGACCTCGTAGCACCTGTATTGCAAATCATAATGCACAAAAGGAAAAGGGGAGAGAGAACAAGAAGGAAGGTGCCTCCCATAGAGGGAGGCTGGGGGTGCGGGGTGGGGTTGGGGTGGTCGGGAAACAGGGAATGGTGGGAAATGTACACTGGTGGAAGGATGAGTGCTACATCATTGTATGACTGAAACCCAATTATGAAAAGTTTTGTAATGGTAATTACAAAATGTAATATATCTTGCGGATGTTCAATTTATTTTTAATTTGAAAAAAAAAAGAAACAGAATTATTCTCAGTCCTTTCTTGCTCCCCTTTCATTTCCTCTTTGGTCATTTCTTTCCTCTGTCTTCTGTAATTTTTCAATACAAACCTGAACTTGAGTCTTTATTTACTAAAAGATTACCTGCTTTGTTACAATTCATTATTTATATGACACTAGAAAGAGAAAAACACATTACTCTATCACGCTGCTGCTTTTTTATTTTTGAGCTTGTGTCATCTCATAATAGAACTTTCCCTACTTTCAGCTGTAATCTTAGCGCCCTGGCTCTTTCCTCCCTCCGGTTAAGCAAAAGTGACACCTGGTGGCAGAAACAGTCAATTACAGTTTTCACTGCAATTTATTCATTGTAACGCAAGAGTAAGAAATTCATGTTTGGACAGTGAATTAAACCAAATAATATGAAAAAAAGTCGTTTTAACCTTAATTATGTATTATGATATATAATGCCCAAATCAAGCTCCATGTACTAATTTTTATTTCTTCATTAGAATTATGTATCTATTGGTAATTTATCATCTGTCTTTGTCATGAAATTGATTTCTCTTTCTAAGGGAATTTTTCACTTACCTAATCTTTTATTTTTATTACTTTTTAATCCATCTATTAGGCTTATTATTGTCTGATGGTTGTTTGTTGGCTTTCATTTTTGATGACCTCTTACATCAAGACTTTTTCATAAATATGCAAAAATCATCCATATTTCTAGCTCTTAGTTCACTTGAAATTTTTTGTATTATATAGAATCTATACTCTGCAGATAACCTTCATACTATAAAATTTTAGAAAAAATTCAGGAAATAGGTAACTTGAAAAAATATACATTGTCCCCCGAAATTCTTAGAAGGTAGGTACTAATGAATCGGCTCCTCAGAACACTGGGAAACCAAGACGCAGCTCCAGAGGGGGCTGTTCCAGGGGAGGCGCGGGTGCTTTGCGAGTGGGGCCAGCTGCTGCGCCAGACTCTGCTGAGTATCACCTGAGACCCTCCCTGTTGGATTCATGCTATAGTTTGCTTGAGAATTTTGCTTGAAGACTTGTTTTAATAAGCTCTTATAAACATACAAACTACTTTTCAGGGTTTCAGTAATTTTCCATTGTTCCAGTTTGGTGTTTTTTTTTTCTTTTTTTTTTGCTGTTTGGGTTACTCCTGGCTCTGCACTTAGGAATTGCTCCTGGCAGTGCTTGAGGGACCATAGTGAAATGCTGGGAATCGAACCCGGGTTTGTTGCGTGCAAGGCAAACGCCCTACCTGCTGTGCAATCACTCCAGCCCCCTGTTCAGGTTTTTTGACGTGAAACCTACACCCTTTTCTTGGTTATTTTGAGATTTTAAATCTGGGACATTTTTCACAATAGTAGTATTTGCCTTTAATAGGTATGCAAAAGTCACACTTATTTGTGCTTTTCCTTTTTCCTTTTTCAGAGTAATAGGCAACTTCTTCTAATCCCTAGCTTCATGTTTGTTTTCTCGGGGAGCCAACCCAGTGTGCCAGCCTTTTTGGTTTTAAGAAAGAATTAACACACTCTCCAGGCTCAGGTTTTTTCTGTTCTAATCTTGACTATTTCTTTTCTCTGATGCCATATACATGTAGGTGGCAACAGAGGAGGGATCAGGGAACTCTGGACAGTGTCTGGACAGTGTCAGCGATGAGAAGCCCCTGTCCAGGTTTTGGGAGGTGAAAGGCGTGGCTCAGGTGCAGCTCTGTGGTACCCTGTGGGGTGCCAAGACCTCCACTCTTCTGTGCTTAACCTTTGCAAACCTTCAGATTTAAACCTTGATTTTAAGAGGCCCAGATCCAGATTGCTAGTATATAACTTTGCCAGGTAGAATTTTGGGGGATGTGAGGGCAATCTGGCTGCGACATCTGTCACCCCATTGATCGCCAGGGTTGATTCGGCTGATCTGGCTGGCTAGGCGGGTGTCCCCTTCCTCCCGCACCACTCCATGTGCGTCCCTCCCAAAGCTGCACGCTCAGTCGAAGAGGACGGCCTTCCCCGAATAGAGACCGACCGGTCTTCGGTCGAGGGTATACGAGTAGCTGCGCTCCCCTGCTACAACCTCCAAACAAGCTCGAGCATTGTTACCATCTGCCCCAAGTCTGCACGGACTCTAACATGCTCACATAGTTCAACCAGGTATTTTACAGGTGACACTATTCAACTCGGGTATCTTACAGGTGAAAGCTAGGTATCAAGGTGAGTGCTCTAGTGATAAGAGCTGAACTGCAGAATGACACATTGCTTCATGCCATCCCTGTGATCCTTTCCTGTCCAGGTTGGTGACCAGATTGTTGAAATCAATGGAGAACCTACACAAGGCATCACACATACACGCGCAATCGAGCTCATTCAGGCCGGTGGAAATAAAGTTCTTCTTCTTTTGAGGCCGGGAACTGGCTTGATACCTGACCATGGTAAGTACAGTGACTTATCTGCACCTAAAAAGTTAAGTGTGTGAGGAAAAGAAAGGTGGGAGGAAAGAAGGGTTTCGAGGGGGACAGCCATTTTACTGGCACGTTCAAAGGTAAAAACACCACAACCATAAGATAGCATCATTATAATAATATCACAAAATAAGTGGCTTCAGGCAGGACTACTGTGGGAATTAAGTATACATTAAACTAACTTCAAACATAGTTTGATAAAGAAATATGCTTACAAAAGAAAATAAAGGACGTATATGAGGTATTTGAGATTCTTCAGATGTTAGTTGTTTCCTAATAGTGCTCTAGTCTTTCAGTGAGTAGTCAGAACACCCGACTTCTCTAGTCCCTGAGAAACAAGCTGCCACCGCCTTACTCAGAGCGGGGCAGGACCCTGGGCATTACCTGCACTACTGCACTTAGTGAGCCTTTTTAGTGTCACAGTGCTTGCAAATGTTTTTAATGAAGTGCATTAGTGTGGAGGCAGAGCGCCACACCACTTAGTGCCTGCCCTACTCTTCCCCAGCAGAGCTGAGGTAACTGTAAACATGCCCTCCCAGTCCCACTTCCAGCCTGTGACTCTCACACTGTGTTTTGTGTCTTCCACCATCTGCTTGTAAATCATACATTCCCAGTGACATCTTTGCTAACTGCGCTGTGATTTTCTTTTTTTTTTCCCACGTAGTCCTAGGCTTTTTCTCTTCCTTCTTCAGGTTTGGCTCCTTCCGGTCTGTGCTCCTACGTGAAACCTGAACAACATTAAGGCTTTCAGGGCTTTTCTTGGTCTTTCCTTAAAAAGACTTGGTAAATTTGCATGTCTTGTAAATCACTTCCTTCTGTTTTTCTCTTTGATTAAAAATGGTGCTATTAAGTACATCTAATTCTATCTTCTGCACTTTTCAGTTCCTTTCAACATTAAATTTGACAGCTTAATGTAAGAAAACTATTTACAAATGCCCACGACCCTTATTCTGGTTACCATAGTTTGATTTCCTTTATTTTGACATCTCTGTAAGCTAAATCCACTGATAATGGTTGAATGTACCAGAAAACGTGGTCCAACTTTGTTACTTCTGTATAGTTTTTAATTGGGCTTTACTACTTTTAAAGAATTTACACATATATTATTGAATTACATATCACTGAAAACAGCTGTCTATTATACATCTGCCTTTACAGAGATATATGTAAACATATATAGATTTTATTAAATACTCAGACTGTTTAAGCAGTTTGTACAATTCAAATAAATGGCTGTGAAGAGTTCAAAACTTACTATTCCTATTTTAATTACCCACTCAAATCCCTTTTTTAGGTGTTTGGGATAGTAATCCTTCATCTCCAAATGTGATTTATGATGAACAGTCACCATTTTCCCCATTTCCACATTCTGCTTCTACATATGAAGAGTCTCATGTACTAGTAACTGAGGAATCTTTAACAAGAGTTCAGATATGTGAAAAAGCAGAAGAGTTAAAGGACACTGTGCCTGAAAAGAAAAGCACTTTAAATGAAAAACAGCATGATGAAAAGCATCAGTCTCTTCTCCAGAAAAATGTGAATAAAAGGGACTCACCCCACAGTCATGGGCACAGTGACAAAAAACATCTCTTACAAGTCGAGAATAGTCTTACACGTAGAGGTCGATCTGCTAGTCCCCCAAATCCAGCCAGTCTCTCTTTGGAGGGTCATTTAGAAAAGAGTCCCTGTCAGCTCCAAAATGAGCTGAAAAGAAAACCCAGAGATAAGTCCCTCAGTCCTAGGAAAGGGGAGAATAAAAGTTGTGGGGTTGGCACCCACGCAGGTTCTGGACAAGATCACTGCAGAAAAGGCAGAGGACGTTCTTCAAGCCCCAAGAAGCAGCAAAAAATGGAAGGAAACAAAGACAGAGCAAATGCTGACGCCAAATTCTCAGAGCTCGAGAGGCAAAGAATGGAGGCCTGCGCCAGTGACAGAGCCGAGCAGGTCCTGGCTAGGAAAGGAAAAGCAGGCGTTATCGGGAAAGATGGGAAGCAGAGCCACCCTGGGAAAAACAGGACAAGGTCTCCAGAGAAAAGACCCAAGAGAATGGATGAGAAGTCTCTCCCACCCAAAAAGACTAGTGCTGCTACTAGTAGTAGAGCAATGCCAGAAAATGAAAAGGGACGGAAAGCAACCTCAGGAGAAATGAGTTCCAGTAAAGAGAGAACGGGAGAAAATATCCATGTTTCAGAAAAGAAGCTGAGGCAGGAGCCTGAAGGAAAAACGGTGTTAACCCCAACAGAGGCTCACAGAGAAGCCACTGACAAAAATAGAGAGAGCGGAGGGCTCAAACCAGAAAGCGCTCCCCTGGCTAAGAAAACACAAATTACCCCTGGGCCCTGGAAGGTGCCAAGTGCAAATAAAGCGGCTGGCACTGCCGGGGTGACGGAGAAGCGGCTGTGACCTTTAGTGTAAAACAGAAGAAAAGAAAAGATAATCTCTCCTTCCTGAAAAGCAGCATTTTTCCCCCAAAGTGTCTTCTATTTAATGGAAATTCTGAAATGAATGTCAGCACATTTTGAGCTTCAAGTGACCAGGCTGCATGAAGGGTCTAGGATTGCTTGAGCCTGGTCTGCCACTGGCCACCTTCCCCACTCGCTAACCTCACGTGCCAGCCTCCGCTGAGGCAGCCTAGCCGTCCCATGAGCATCCTGACAACTGACATCTGTGGAGAGCAACAGTGCGTTCACACTCACTTTGTATTTGTGCCAAGTTAATCTACTGTATCATGTCGAATTTACCCTTCTCAGATATTCCCACTGTGATGAAAACATAGGTTTGGCTTGGAAGCTCATATTCTCAATAGCATGTTGCATGTGTACAGAGAGACTGAATTCGTGCAGGAGACTTCACTCATCATTAACCATGGCAGCTGCCTCTACTGACGATGGCCCAGGTTAAAAGCTAAATTTCCAAACATCACTATTTAAGGGGGGGGGGGGGGGGGGGCAGTCAATATTGATTTTCCTGTGGCTTATTATTTTGTCAGGGTAAAGTATTTCAAATAACTTACAATTCAATGTCCAGAATGAAAAACTTTTTTAAGAAATGAATTCACCTCTTGCTGTTACCCAGGACTGATGTAGTTCTTGCTGCTCAGGTCTTTTATTTCAGTATGAAACCACAAAGAAGCAGGTAGAAATATTGCTTATTGTTGTTCAAAGAAGATAACAACTTTGATTTCTGGATTTTTTTGTTTGCACTTAGTACCAAACCTTATTTTTTTAGTATATATTGGGGGGCTGGGGGTGGAGAGGGACCACACCTGACAATGCTCAGGGGTTGTTCCTGGCAGGCTCGGGAACCATATAGGGTGCCAGGGATCCAACCCAGGTCGGTTGTGTGCAAGGCTAAGTGCCCTATCCACTATATTATCACTCTGGCCCATAAGTACAGACTTATAAGAGTCAAAATATCATACCTATTGTGTGAAGGACTTAATCACGTTTCACAGCCCAGTGCCAGGAAAAGCACCAGCTCATCCTGGAGCAGCTGTACAACTGGGCTGTTTAGAAACAACATGGCCAAGCAAGACCTGCTCAGCAGTAATGGTGGGCAAGGGGGGAAACAGGGACTGTTAGATCTGACTTCTCTTGAGTTGCTGCCTAGTTTGTTTAAAAACAAGAAAGGATAACTAGGCATCTGCTTAGGTCATTTACATCAATGAGTTCTTTTTAAAAGTCTAAGCAAAGATGTTGGATGGCAGGTGGAGATGGTTTTTTTACTCCATGAAACAGACCCAGGTTTTTCTGTCCACTGAAGTCACATTCAGCAGCATCTATAAATAAGGGGGCATTCTCAGACTAAAACCATTTTATGGAGTATTTTAATATATTGGTTCTGTCACCCTTGGGTTCCTCTTGTTATTGTGAAACTCATTATGTTGGTCCTTTCCTCTCAAAGTCTGATTATAAATTACTATAACAACGGAATCAGCCCCTGTAGATAAGACATGCTTCCCAGAGTGAAAATTATGAAATCCCTTTTCACCCACCTATTTTAACTACTTGAATAGAGCAAAATTAGGAAGCTTGATAAATACTAAGAATTTAGTACTACAGAAATGACATATTTCCCCTATAGTCCACAATTAGTGATAAAAATCCTATTTTTACTGGTATTGTTAACTGTGACATAACTCTAATGTCATATGTTGTCAGTCTGATGTGGCTCTTTCCTCTTTTCCTAAGTAACCTGTCACTGTACTGATTATATACTGACTTAGCAATGTGGCCTTGGAATGCTAAGCAAAATATGGATGTACTGGTTGTAAATGTTTATATATTGTACAGTACCTTTATATATACACTTGAGGTTCTGATTAGAGAAAGAGATCTGTAAATCGCTCGCTATTTTTTATATAGATATTAAAAAAAAAAGTTCATAGTCTGCCTTTCTTTTACAAAATGTTAGGTGTTGACACTTTTTTTCTTTGTGGCGCTAATTTTCATCATGGTTACACTCTATTCAAGGAACAAAATTTCTAAGTCTAACAACCAGGAAAATTCTTCTAATGGTGATTTTTCTTATATAGCAATACCTTTATTTGTATAGAAAGCTTGAAATTAGTTTACATTAAATATAATTTCAACTATTTTATATATCTCATTGTAAAGCATATAGCCTTGGGTAATTAATTTGCCACCCCCAAAATCCTTGTATTATTTTGGGAGGAGTACTTGTCTTACTGGAAATGTGGTTACTAGGCATATCTTGGTCATTTACTTCACCAGATGCTGACAAAACTCTGGCATTTCACATTAGTTTTAGATCTATTTACCTTGCACTTGTGGGGAACAAAGGGTAGAGGGTCTCTGGTAGTAGATGACATTGGAATGAAGGTGGCAGATTGTGGAGAATCCTATGCAAACAGATGCATTAAGCTAATAATGTAATAAATAATATTGTTAACTAGTAAAAATACATTTTTAAAAGAGAAATGGTAACAAAAAAAGAAAATGAAACATTCAAAGAGAATCAGTGAATCAGTGTTAGGAAGGCAAAGAATATTTCAATTAGCTATAGTCAGTGCTTGTAGGACAGTGAGCGGCGCAGACTAAAAGCCTGGTGCGTAGCTGGCTCCTGAACACGGGACACTGAGAGACGCAGTCACGAAGTCGTCTCCCAGCCTGCCGTGAGGCTACTTGGAGCAGCTCTTGCTTCTTGCCACGCTCCAGTGCCTCAGAATCATCTGTACTTTTAGACACTGAAGTTGACTTGGGAGCAACTTTTTTACTGCTGTTAAAAGTCTGTATGCAATACAACTTGCTTACATTTTGACATATCAATCATTTTTGCTGTAATTGATTTAAGAGCTTCACTGATTTTCATCAGTTTTCAGTGCTGCTGTGTGGAATAGCCTTAAGAATCTTACCTACTAAGAACTGTCTCAGATAGATATTAAAATATGAAAACACAGCCTAAAATTACATTCTAAGAATCCTGTTTGTATTTATCTGATTTACAGTGCTTGTATTAAAGCCAGGCACAACTATTCAGAGTTTTGTCCTTAACAAGTACCTTGAGTAGTAACTACTTACAGCTTCTGGCTCAGGATAGGCTACAGAAAAGGTATATAAAGAATGTACATTTTAGAAATTTGAACTTCATTTTTCAAGATCGGCAAAGAACAAAGGATAACTTATAATGACAAATAAGTCAACAAATGCAGAGATTAATGAATTTGCTTCTTGATAACCCCAAGTCATACACTGCATTTGGGAGGGAGGCCCCACTGGCCCCATATGAATGTAAAGATCTAAAAAATTCACAACATCAATTTCATTAATTTCAAAAAAGGTAATTTTTCAGTCCACAGGTCCACCTATCTTTCTCTGCATATAATGAACTGAAAATAAAAACATAAATCCCTAAGTTTATAGTTGGTAAGAGAGCCTGGTATGTAGAATTTTTCTACATGTCTCAAAATTAAGATGATCACACCCCTATTAAGCAAGTATTTGGATATTCAGTTTTTATTTTAGGTTGGTTATTATTATACATAGGGCATATTTAAAAATTGAAATTATACCGACACAGCAATTTGAGGAATATTTTTTCCATATACTATAACAAATCATAAAACAAATGAACAGCTATGTTTCCTCTATGGTTATTCCAGCTAAATGCAAATTACCTGATATAGTTGTTTTTATTTTTCTAGTTGTGTTTTTATATCTGCGTTTAATTTCCTAGAAACTGATAAATACTAAAAGCATTTTCTCTCTCACTCCTACTGGGCATCCAGATAAAACCCCAGAGATTGGGTAAGGCACTTGCTTGCCTTCATGCAACTGATCCAGGTTGGATCCCCAGCAGCACACATGGTTCCAAACCCTCTCCAGGAGTGACCCGAGTGTAGAGGAAGGGTAAGCCCTGAGTACCACTGAATGTGGCCTAAAAGTAAAACCCTAACATGCTAGAAAATGAAGCACTGAGGTTAAAAGAACCATCAAGATACAAAACTTACATGATAAAAGGGGAAATGCACAAATGGTAAGTTAACTGAAATCTAATCTTCAGTTCATTTATTCTGGATACCTACTATGGGTTAGGTACTGATCTGTGTTCTGAGAATCAGCAGTGAACAGTAGCAAAGCATTGCCTATAGCATGCACATTCCCACAAGTGGAGAAGTGAACAAGCAGGTTGAAAATAGGCTGTGTCGGGGAGAAGAAATGACCCAGGATCATCTCGTGGTAACAAGAATAAGATGAGCGGCTACAAATAGTCATCAGAAGGCCCCTGTAAGGTAAGAAAAGAAACAGCCATTGGGAAGAAACTAAGTAAACATACTACGAGCACAAGCCTACTATGAGAAAGACCTTGCAGAGAGAGGTCAGCAAGCCAGGACGGACTGAGGAGATGGAGAGAGGCCTGCACTCCAGGGGAAGTCAAAAAATTAAAACGGGCCAGATAGTACAGTGGAAAGGCATTTGCCTTGCATGTGGCTGACCCAGGTTTGATCCCTGGCACCAGATATGGTCACTTCAGCACTGCCACAAATGACCCTTGAGCCACCCCCAGGAGAAAGCCCTCAGCACCCTCTGGGTATGAACCCAATACCCCTACCCCTGCACGTAAAATATAAAGAAAAACAGGAAATAAAACATTCATATTTTTAAGTTATGGTTCTGAAAAACCAATTACAGCACACAAAATATTTGAAAGTTAAAAAAAAAAAATTAAACCAGGGGCTGGAGAGATAGCACAGCGGGTAGGGCGTTTGCCTTGCACGCAGCCAACCTGGGTTAGATTCCCAGCATCCCATATGGTTCCCTGAGCACTGCCAGGAGCAATTCCTGAGTGCAGAGCCAGGAGTAACCCCTGTACATCGCCAGGTGTGACCCAAAAAGAAAAAAAAATTAAACTAAACTATGAAAATGTGGAACAGGTAAGACGAGGATGTTGCTTGAGCAATGAAGAACAGGACCACCACCAAAGAAACTGAACAATTCTCAACTGGGAACAGTTCATGTTTCCATATCTCCATATCTAAACTAGAAAAATCTATATTGAGAACTGGAGTGTGGGCTGGTAGTACGGCGGGTAGGGCACTTGCTGACCCAGGTTTGATCCCCTGCACCCAATATGGTCCCCCGAGCACTGCCGGGAGTGATTCAAGAGTAATTTCTGAATGCAGAGCCAGGAATAAGCCCCAAGCACCACAAGGTGCAGACACACACCCTAAAAAATAAATAAATAAATAAATTTAGGAAAAGTTAGATCACAAAGATAATTCAAAGGGCTGAAGCAACAAGACCTCAAATTCAGTCATGGCACCATGTGGCCCCCTGAAAGCGCCCAGGTATAATCCTGGTAGCACCAGGTCCATACTATTGAGTATAAATATGAATGTCCCTGGAGCCCCTAGGGAGCCCTGGGCCTCCCCCCCTACCAAAAGGCAAGAAGTCCCAAATTTAATGAAATCTATAAACTCACAAGC